GTGGGGGAAGGGTGTTATTTTGCTGGCTTTGGCTACAGCTACACTCCCAGGAGGTTTTGAAACAAGAGGCTTGGTGGTGTGGACGCCCGCCTTGGTATTTCAAAACGACTCCCCAGTGTAGACATGCCCTGTGGTGCCTGGTTCCATGCCAGAGCAGCTGAGCTGGGGGCAGGCCCTAGTTTCCAGGAGGTTTTGAAACAAGAGGCTTGGTGGTGTGGACGCCCGCCTTGGTATTTCAAAACGACTCCCCAGTGTAGACATGCCCTGTGGTGCCTGGTTCCATGCCAGAGCAGCTGAGCTGGGGGCAGGCCCTAGTTTAAAGGCTCTGGGGTGGCTTCCTTCTGCTCTCCCCCAGTTCCATCTGTTGGAGACAGGAGAGAGCCAGGAGCAGGCCCAGGTGCCGGGGGTGCTGCCAGCGAGCAGCAGGGGCCATGGCTGTGGGGGTGGCAGGATGTGCAGGACACTGTTTGAGGCCAGATTTGGACCTCAGGGGCTCTCCACTCCAGGGGAAGGCATCAGGCCCACAGGTGCAGGGTAGCAGCATAGGGCCCCATGGCTAGGAGCTGGGGTTTGTGCAAAACAAGTGCAACTTACCCACTGTGGGGGATGGGGAGGGGAGATGTGGGACACTTGCAATTCCCAGCTCCCACATGGCTGAATCCCTTTGTAGCAAAAGCCGTGTCCCCTCTGCCCTGTCCCTGGGGAGATTGACCCACTCGGGGTGGGCATTACACAGGCATTGATTGCCCTGGCTGCCAGCCATGGGGCAAGACAGGGGCTGCATTTCAGGGGGAGCTCTGGCAGGGTGAGCCCACCTGAGTCACCCGGGGTCAGGGGCTCCTGCTGGGTGACTAGGAGGAGAGCTGGGCAGAGATGAGTTACGGGCAGCCAGCGGGTCCCAGCCTGGCCACAGCTGTGCAGGGAGCAGTCGGGTGAACGTGTGGGTCACACCCCTCCGGGCGGGGCCCAGGGTGCAGCTGGGTGGCTGTGAATGTGGGATTGCTTGGGTAGATGCGTGGGTGAGGGCGCATTCGTGCGTGGCTATGGGACACGCAGGGTCTCCCAATGCTCTGGAAGAGAAGGTTAAAATTCAGAGCGATCTGGGCAAACTGGGGAAACGGTCGGAGGTAAATCGGATGAAGTTCAATAAGGACAAATGCAAAGTCAACAGAGACACTTGCAAAACCAGCGAACAGCATTCTGGGGTCATTAGCAGGCGTGTCCCTGGAACCTCTCTGCTTGTCAGTGCCGCAGCCGGGCGCCTGGAGGCTTGCGGCCTCAGTTACAAATATAAAACCATTGTTTGCGCCTCTGCCCCTTTTCCTTGCGCGTTGAGCACTCACCAGACGTCAGGCTCTTACTGGAGTCGCGGGTCCAGTTCTGGCACCACGTTTCAGAAAAGATGTGGACAAATTGGAGACAGTCCAGAGGAGAGCAACAAAAATAATTCAAAGTCTAGAAAACATGGCTGGTGAGGAGAGAAGGGAAACAAATGGGTTTGTTTAGTCTGGAGAAGAAAAGTCTGAGAGAGGATGGGGCAGTTTTCAAGTCCATAGAAGGTTGTTAGAACATAAGAATGGCCATACGGGGTCAGACCAAATGTCCATCTAATGCAGTGTCCTGTCTCCCAACAGTGACCAATACCAGGTGCCCCAGAGACAATCCTCAAACAAAGAGACTAGGGACTTTAAACAGAGTTTAAAGAGAAGCTAGATACATTCATGGAGGTTAGGTCCATAAAAGGCTATTAGCCAGGGGATAGAAATGGTGTCCTTGGCCTCTGTTCATCAGAGGCTGGAGATGGATGACAGGAGACAAATCGCTTCAGTCCACCTGCTCCGGGACACTTGGTGCTGGCCACTGTCAGCAGACAGGCTGCTGGCCTGGATGGACCTTTGGTCTGACCCAGTCCAGCCATTCTTATGGACATCATCCCTGCCCATCCTGGCTAATAGCCATTGATGGACCTGTCCTTCATGAACTTATCCAATTCTTTTTTTAACCCTGTGATAGTCTTAGCCTTCACAGCATCCTACAGCAAAGAGTTCCACAGGTTGTGTTGTGTGACAAAATGTTTCCTTTTGTTTGTTTTAAACTTGCTACATATTAATTTCATTGGGCGACCTCTAGCTTTTATGTAATGGGAAGGAGTAAATAATACTTCCTTCCTCACTTTCTCCACACCAGTTATGAATGTATAGACCTCTGGCATATCCCCCTTGTCTCCTCTTTTCTAAGCTGAAAAGTCCCAGTTTTATTACTCTGTCCTAAATATGGCAGCTGTTCCCTCCCCCAATCATTTTTGTTGCCCATTTCTGTACTTTTCCCAATCTGATATGGGACAACCTGCTCTGCTCACTGGACTCAACATGTGGATGTGTCATGGATTTATACAGAGGTGGAGGGAGAAAGTGTTCTCTTGAACCTCTGAAGACAGGATAAGAAGCAATGAGCTTACATCGCAGCAAGGGCAGGTTGGGTTGGCCTGCCTGTCAGTGTTAGTTAAGCCCTGGAATAAATTGCCTTGGGAGGTTGTAGAATCTCTGTCGTTGGAGACCGTGAGGAGCAGGTTGAACGGACACCTGTCAGAGAAGGGCTAGATCGGGGCTATTCAATTCTGGAAGCCTCAGGGGCCACAATGATACCCACAGCACGTAGAATACTAGAGCTGGAAAGGACCTCGAGAGTCATCGAGTCCAGTCCCCTACCCCTGTGGCAGGACCCAGTACCACCTAGACCATCCCTGCTAGGTATTTATCTAACCTCCTCTTAAATATCTCCAGAGATGGAGATTCCACAACCTCCCTGGGCAATTTATTCCAGTGTTTGACTACTCTGACAGTCAGGAACTTTTTCCTAATGTCCAACCTAAACCTCCCATGCTGCAGTTTAAGCCCATTGCTTCTTGTTCTATCCTCAGAGGCCAAGATGAAGAAGTTTTCTCCCTCCTCCTTATGACACCCTTTTAGATACCTGAAAACCCCCTCAATCTTCTCTTTTCCAAACTAAACAAACCCAATTCTTTCAGCCTTCCTTCATAGGTCATGTTCTCTAGACCTTTATTCATTCTTACGGCTCTTCTCTGGACCCTCTCCAATTTCTCCACATCCTTCTTGAAATGTGGTGCCCAGAACTGGACACAATACTCCAACTGAGGCCTATAACTAGCACAAAGTAGAGCGGAAGAATGACTTCTTGTGCCTTGCTCACAACACACCTGTTAATGCATCCCAGAATCATGTTTGCTTTTTTTGCAATAGCATCACACTGCTGACTCATTCACCTTGTGGTCCACTGTAACCCCTAGATCCCTTTCTACTGTACTCCTTCCTAGACAGTCGCTTTCCATTCTGTAGGTGTGAAACTGATTGTTCCTTCCTAAGTGGAGCACTTTGCATGTGTCTTTATTAAACTTCATCCTGTTTACCTCAGACCATTTCTCCAATTTGTCCAGATCATTTTGAATGATGATCCTGTCCTCCAGATTAGTCGCAACCCCTCCCAGCTTGGTATCATCTGCAAACTTAATAAGCGTACTTTCTACGCCAAGATCTAAATCGTTGATGAAGATATTGAACAGAGCTGGTCCCAAAACAGACCCCTGCAGATCCCCACTAGTTATACCTTTCCAGCAGGATTGTGAACCATTAATAACTACTCTCTGAGTACGGTTATCCAGCCAGTTGTGCATCCACCTTATAATAGCCCCATGCCGAGGGCTACAACTTACGTGTGGTTGCATATACATGCAAAGCTATGCAAATAGCTTCTTTCACACTGACAGGCACGAATACAAAGATTAAGACAAGACTACACACCACACAGGCCCCATTTAGGTGAGTTCTGCTGATATTAATAAAATGCAATATTTACCCCATTTCCACCCATATAACAGCACCTTTAATGAGCGATCACAGTCCAGGAATTTAACCACTATAACAGTCTTCTGCTGATGTGCATTTTATCAACTCGGGTTTTTGTTTTGACTCCCCCCCCCATGGGACTGCGTGTTGAGCCCCACGTAAACCCAAACCGCGCCACAGGCTGCGAACAAATGGGCCACGGGCCACATGCAGCCCATGGGCCATGTGTTGAGTAGCCCTGGGCTAGATAATACATAGTCCTGCCTGGAGTGCAGGGAACTGGGCTAAACGTCTCTCCAGGCCCCTGCCTGTCCTACAAATCAATGATTCCACCCGTGCCTGCTGCTGGATGGGACATGGCAGCCCTGGCTCTCCTGGCACCATAATCCATTGGCAAGGGCAGCCCCCTAATTCTGGGATGTTGTGACTCTCACTCACCAGGGGAGCAGTTTCCTTTGCTTAGAGCAAGGGCCTGGGTGTTGGGACTCCTGGCTTCTGTTCCAGACTTGGAGTGGAGAAATCAATGATTCCACCCGTGCCTGCTGCTGGATGGGACATGGCAGCCCTGGCTCTCCTGGCACCATAATCCATTGGCAAGGGCAGCCCCCTAATTCTGGGATGTTGTGACTCTCACTCACCAGGGGAGCAGTTTCCTTTGCTTAGAGCAAGGGCCTGGGTGTTGGGACTCCTGGCTTCTGTTCCAGACTTGGAGTGGAGAGTGGGGACAGCTCCTGGAGGGGGCTGTTTGCTGGGCCAGTCACATGAGACATGCTCCGGGCCGGGCTCCCCGGAGGGCCCTGCCTCCCAGCAGGCAGTGGAGGCGTTTCCTGAGTGGAACGAGGATGCACCCAGACAGCTGTGGGCAGTGCTACCTTCGCCCCAGCCCAGCCCAGCCCGGCCCAGCTGCCCCCTGCCCCTGGGCGCTGGAGGTGCCCCCTCAACCACTGCAGAAGGGCTTATTAACTGCGTGCGGGAAGAATTAAATCTCAGACACAGCCTGGGCTCCTTAATCCCCCCTCCCCCGCCTTGTGCTCCTGGGCTCGCCTCCTCCTACACCCCTCCTGGGGGCTGCCTGGAGCTTGGGGCCAGGGTGGGAAATCCAGGCACCGAGGACAGAACATCCTGCGACCTGCCTCCTCCATCCCGGCCCCCAGCCTCCTGCCCCCACCCCCGACTGCCAGCGACTCACCAGCTGTTCAGTGCTCCGGCC